AGAAACTAAATATAGTGTGATGATTCCATTTACATGAAGTATTTAGCATAGTCAGTCATAGAGACAGAAAGTAGACTGATGGTTGCTGGGGGAAGAGGGGACGGGAAGTTATTGTTTAAGGGGTATACAGTTTCTGTTTTACATAATACGAAAGAGTTATGGGGATGGTTGGTGGTGAAGGGTGTACTTCATTATGAGTATATTTATTATCAATGAACTGTATACCTGAAATAGTTAAGATGGTAACTTTTATGTTGATAAGATGGTAAATTTTATGTTATACGTATTTTAATATGAAAAAGTGGGGGAAAAAAGAATAATGCGCTGCCAAAGTTATCTGTATCCTAATTCCCCAAAACTGTAAATGTGTTATCTTACATGGCAAAAAAGATTTTGCAGAAATTAAGGATCTTGAGATGGGAAGATTATCCTGGTTTATCCAAGTGGGCCCATTGTAAGTACAAAGGTCCTTGTAGATGAAAGAGAGAAGTGGGGAAGTGAGCGTTAGAGGGGTTTGAAGGTGTTGCTGACTTTGAAGATGGGGGAAGGGGCCACAAGCCAAGAAATGCATGTGTACTCTAAAAGCTGTGAAAGGCAAGGAAACAAACTGTCCCCTGGAGCCTTTAGAAGGAACACACCTCTGATAACACCTGGTTTTAGCCCACCCAGTAAGACCTGTTTTGGATTCTGACCACCCCCCCCCCCCCCCACCCCCGACCGGGAGAGAAAAGTATTGTTTTGAGCCACTAGCTTCTGATAACTTGTTCCATCAGCAATAGGAACCTGATACACATTCCTGTCTCTGTTAGACTGTAACCTCTGTAGGACAGGGACCTAGTCTTCCTTGACTGCCCATATCACAGATGGTCACTGTTCCTAGAGTGCAGGTAGTTTGGCTTTTCAAATTGAGAGTATCTGACCAGACGATCCTGCCCCTTGTGCTCACCACAAAGCCTGGTGAATGGTCAGGCTTTTCCAGATTCAGGTCAGCTTTTCCAGAATATCCCAGTCCTTAAGAGCCCCACACTGGACTACCTCTAAAAAATGATTCACTTTTGAACAGTGAAGTTTACATCCATCATTGGGAGAGACAGTGACTTAATCCCACCTACTCCCAATACTGCAGACCAGTAAGTGGAATGCTCAGGGTTCAAGGATTAAAATGGGACATTCTTACAAGATGCCTGGGGATTCCAGCACTGAAGGAATGAACAAAGCCAAAATCCAAGAAGATAAGAGAGCAGTCTAGAAGATCACTGGCACTGAACGAGATCAGGGTTGATGTTACCAAGCCAGAAAAATGGGGATCAGGGAGAAGAGAGCAAACAAGCCAGGAACAAATAGGGAAAAGGGGGCTGTAGTATCTGGAACTGTCACACCTGGCACATAAGTGGTAAAACACCAAAGATGAATGGATGGCATTTGATCCATGCCCATACAAATCACTGCTTTTTTTTTTTTTTTTTTTTTTTTTTTTGCACGTCTATACTTTCCTTTGAGGCAAAGTAGGGTTTTCAGGTGCTTGCGCAGGAGTATTGATGGTCCAATTATAGTTATTCCTAATTGAATCTGGCTGTTAATGAACAGAAATGAATATACCACTAAGATCCCTAGTCCTAGAGAACAAACAAAAACACTTTAAAATTCGGTAAAATTGAGAAGATCTCAGAATGTAATGTAATATATTAACTTTCAGATCTGAGTTTTCATATCTTCCATGTATTTTTAAAAGAAAATTCTGTAACTTATGTCTGATATGAATAAGGCCTTTTACATTTTCATTATAAACATTTAGGCTTAAAGTGATTATAACTGACAGTTAAGACCAACGGGAGCCAGTGGCCTGTTCATGGACAAATTATCTGTAATTCAGACTAAATCAAAAGTAAACATTTCCTAAAGTCCTTTCAGCTCTACATTAGTCCTGTGGAAGCCAAATGTAATAGACAAGCCCTTTCCCTTCCTCTCTGTCCTGTGAATTCTACGGGCTCACTTTAAAATGAATAGTCTTTTCTATGAAGCAATGTTATATGCATTTTGAACCATTTCCGCATCTAAGTCATCGAATGCTTATTCATTTTTCTGAATCAACATGTTTATTTCATCAGGAGAATGTTGCAAGAGTACCTGGGATGTGTTGTTTCATAGTTTATCATTAGTATTTTCCTAAATAATGGGATGGAGAGAGGAAGAAAGAAGTAGTCTGATGATCTTCACTTTTTTCTTATCTGCATTTGTTCTCTTGAAGAAGTAATAGCAGTGAATTCGTGTCATTTAAAAGTTTAGAAAGATTAAGTATGACAAATTGTTTTAAATGACAAAGTTATATTTCTGAGTATCTCATTTGAATATGCTGATAATCAGTTTAAAAACCACACAGGCAGTAAGGGGAAGGCATTCTGAATCACAGAGCAGTAAAACTGTTGTCACCAGCAATGATGTCACTCATTCCCAAGGCTCCAAAAGACTGTTGGAAATTAACTTTAGGAAGAAATGTCTTCTGACTTGCCATTGGTTCTAAAAGGCAATCAGTGTTAAACAAGCACAGACCCCTTTTTGGAACCTATGTAATAAAGTCAGACATATTAATCTCTACTCATGCCTCTAGTCAGGGTCTGACCCCAAGTTCTTACGGCTGCAATGGAAGAAAGCAAGGAAGAGCCAACTGACATAAGCTAACAGTTCATGTAAAGGTCTAGATGTGCCTAAGAGCAAATAAACATCGTTTCTCAACTTTGTGTTTGTATTGAGTCCCATAAGACAAAAAGTATCTCTCCATGATCATATGAGATTACATTACAGTCTCCATGTACTTTCACAGTGTTCAGTTAACACCCCTGAGATTTGACTTAAGAAAAGGGATGGAGAGAAAAGAAGAGGTCACTCCTGTTTAGCCTGGATGCTTTGGTCCTCAGACAAAGCATTGGCTTTAAAAAGTCAAAAGCCCTTGTGGTATCCTGCTTTTTCCACTGACAAATGTGTATGACCTAAAACATCTCAACTACTCTTCATGTGTGGAGTGAAGGGGATTAATACCTTCACTACCAACCATGAAAAATGAAGTGAGGTGAGCAAAATACGTGAGTGAATTCGGCAGATCCTGTTACCGGACAATGAAAGGACAGTAATTTCTCTTAGGAAACTAAGAGAGCTGCCTTCTTGAGAAGAGAATAAGGTATATAATGTCATCTCACATCCTTAACAATATCAGAAATAATGCACGTTCAAGAAGTAAATACTTACCATGGCTATGAATAAAACTCTTCTTTGATGAAACTAGTAGCAAATCAAAATGAAAAAAATAATCCGTTTGGAAAAAACAAGTTATGAATTAGAAAACTAGAAAAAATACTAGAAACTTTCCAGCCAGCACTTCCACATTCTTATTTAATTGGTGGCATCTCTTTTTTCTTTTTTTAAATTTATTCATTTTGAAAGAGAGAGAGCACAGCAGGGGAAGGGGAGAATGAAGGAGGGACAGAATCCCAAGCAAGCTCCACACCATCAGCACAGAGCACGATGAGGGGCTTGAACCCACAAACTGTGAGATCATGACCTTAGCTGAGATCAAGAGTCGGCACTTAACCAACTGTGTCACCCAGGTGCCCCTTATTAGCAGCATGTCTTCAGTGTTTCTAGGCTAATGAGATAAGCATAGATCTTTAATAATGCCCCTCTCACATTCCAGATTCCGTCTGAAAGGAGCAACAAAAAAGAAGCTGTGGAGGTGGACATGGTGGGCACCTGTATTCATGTTAAAAATAGGGAAGAGTATGGTAAAGGAAGACACTAAACAGGGACTTGTAACCTCTCTTCCTGAGAGAAAATTATGTCCGTGAAACAAGACGTGTGGCCCACTTGGAATAGCATGGAGAGGACTGAGGATTTGTACAGAAGTGGCTATAGCAGCTGCAAACCTTACATCTTCTCAGATTCAAACCCAATGGAGAAAAAGTGAGGGCTTTTTTCCAAGCATTTCAGCAAAAGAATCTCCCTCCACTGTGATGTGTGCCATCCCTGAGCCATACTGATCAGCCAGAAGAATAAACTGTGTCTTTTATTACCTTAGGTCCTTGAGTCAGAGTGAATGGGGGAGGAGCCCCACCTAAAGCACTCTGGTTATAAGAGAGAGAGGTAGTTCCTCAGAGAGAAATTTGGGTGCAATTTCTTTAAAAAAAAAAAAAGTGAACGAATGCTTGGCAGCCACATTTAGTAAAACTGCAGGCTCTTGGTCACTGGATGCTTCGTATAGACCTGATTCAGGAGTGAGGTAGATTTAGCAAACCCTTGCTGGCTTTACTATTAATTTTAGGAGCTCATTTGCCATTGCTGTTGCTTCTTGTTCACCCACGGCACTGCTTGCGAGTTATTAAGCTGACTTCATGGTGATTTGTATAAAACTAATCCAGCATTTGCTTGTTCTTGGGAGTCTGGCGCCTACAACCTGTCCTGCCAATATTCCTTGATGATGAACCGTGCTTTCAAAAGCAGGTGAACTGTCTCCTCCCCACCACAGTATACCAACACATTACAGAGCCCTTTTTTTTGAGGCCTCATTTTCCTGGTAGCTGTCTCCCCTGAAAAGATTCCCTTTGTGTATCCAGAAAAGAAACTATGGGATTTCTGACTTCTGAGTCCCAGTAGCTCTAATGGACTCTGTCCAGTTTGCCCAGATGTAGACTCTAAGCAAAGTGAGCCTTCCTAGGCTGCAGAGGACAGGGAGGGTGGGTGGCAAGCTCAGCACTGGCTGCACATTGCTCATTTGCTGCTGCTGCTGCTGCTGCAACAGTGAGCAGGTCTCCCAGGGGGAGAAAAGGGCAAGCCACTGTGCTCTCGGGCAGGGGAAGGCTGCATTTATTCCTTGAGGTTTCTTGTTACCTTATTATACAACTCAGATGGTTTGCTTTTAACGGTCTGCTTGTCTTGTTCCATCTGACCTATAAAAATGCTAACATCCTTTAAGTAGATTTCTTTTAAAGAGTTGAATGTTTCTTTGTCAGGTCAAACAGCGTATTTGACAATAATCGCCAGGATCCCACAGGACTGACCGCTGCTCTTCAAGCCACAGACCTGGCTGGAGTTCTGCACATGCTCTACTGTGTCCTCTTCCACGGCACCATCTCGGACCCCAGCACAGCCAGTCCCAAGGAGAGTTACACTCAGAACACAGTCCAAGTGGCCATTCAGAGCTTACAGTTCTTCAACAGTTTTGCAGCTCTTGATCTGCCTGCTTTCCAGGTACCAAGCATTGGTTAGTGATGGTGTTAACCAACCAAGAGTTAATATTTTAGTGTAGATAATGATGTGAGGTTCCTCTCCTGGATTGGGACATTAGGAGTAAACTACAGTAAAGGAAATCACAATATACATCATTTATTAAGCCACTGTCATCTGGGAACTATTTTAGATACTCTACATATGCTTTCTCATTTATTCTCATGATAGCCCTGCAAAATATTACACCCATTTTGCAGATGGAAAAGCTAGCAGTTATTTGCCCAAGGTTACACGTGGCTATGCCAGGACTGGCACCTATGATTTTCTGATTTCCCCAAATCTGTGTCACTCTGCTACTAATAAATCTTCTGTGTTGATTTCTTCATAGAAAGGCATTATTATCCCATCAACTTTTTTTTTTTTTAATTTTTTTTTTCAACGTTTATTTATTTTTGGGACAGAGAGAGACAGAGCATGAACGGGGGAGGGGCAGAGAGAGAGGGAGACACAGAATCGGAAACAGGCTCCAGGCTCTGAGCCATCAGCCCAGAGCCCGACGCGGGGCTCGAACTCACGGACCGTGAGATCGTGACCTGGTTGAAGTCGGACACTCAACCGACTGCGCCACCCAGGCGCCCCTCCCATCAACTTTTAAATGTTAAGGAAAGTCTTACATAAACAGAACCAAAGTTAGATAAATTGTTTTGATTGATATGACTTTCTGTGGATGATTTAACTGATTTGTGTCCGGTGTAAAGTGTATGTATAGTTATACATGCACACCCCCATAAATTAAGTTTTTATAGCAAAAGAAAGAAAAATTGCTTTATGCTGTAATACCAGACTGTCAGCTTAGAAATAGACTTTTTTTTTCATGTGGGAAATTTAATTTTCAAAAACACTGAACCTTTGGAACAGAGCAAGCCCCAAGGAGTAGACTTTCTCTTTCAGTTTATTAACTGTCAAGTGATTTCATTAAAAAAGGAACAAACTTGGCAGATGATGAACCCATAATTTAGATGAATTGCTTTGCTCAGAGGGAGAAAGGGAAAAAGGTTATAGAGATATAAATGTATGAAAATGGTGGTCTTTGGCCATTCCCAACTAGACGAAACACTTGTTTTGTAGCTGATGACAAATGTGGAATTCTTGTCTTCCTGTCATTTTGTGCACAACAGGAAATTAGTGAGTAAGTTGTATCATTGGGCTCAATAGCTTTCAACTTGGTACAGTTAGTTTATCCATCACAAGAACAGAATCCTGTTTAGGGTTAAGGCATTTCAGTTTCCAAAGCAATTGAACACTATAGCCTTAGATGGTAACTACATAATGTATAAAGTTCTGAGAGTTTACAGGCACACCTAATAAGGAGATATCTGCTCCAGAAAATGCCATTGATTCTTGCCTCTGGGTTGAACATCTGTGTTTTGTGAAGACCCAGGCCCATTGTGTTCTGTGTGGAAACAGCTTGGAAATCCGGAGACACTAGTTTTTGTCCTCAGAACATGGAGACCAGCAGTCTACCCATCGACTAGTCCAACTAGAGTGATTTCCGTTGTTACTAGGGATTATGAAAAGAAAATATCTAAAAACTGTCTCTTAGCATCTAGTATAGGTCTTCTGACCAGTATTTATACTGCTGCAGGGTGCTCCACATCATAAGCAAAATCATCTGTATTAAGTCAGCCATTCCATGAGTCACTCTTGAATGTCGGATCCCAGATCCATGTGCTACCCACACCATCCCTGTGAGCTCACAGCCTGGTCAGTCTCACTCAAAAGGAACACCACTGAACTCCAACCAGCCCTGCTCCCCGAATGGCCTTTAGGCACAGTTGCCAATAATGTTAGAAAAATCAAAAGCTTATTTCTGGAGCAAATGTCAAACTAACATAAAGACCAAGATTCTTCCTTTCCAGCTCTTTGCCATATCCAGCCTGAAATGTACCCCCTACTTGAAAAAAGCAGCAGGAAAGATACCAGAGTGACTCAAGAGTGTTCAAGCCATTCTGTTTTTTATTTTATTTTTGTAATATTTATTTATTTTGAGAGAGAGAGAGTGCAAGCAAGCAGGAGAGGGACAGAGAAGGAAAGAGAATCCCAAGCAGGCCCCTGCACTCTCAGCAGAGAGCCCCATGCGAGGATCAAACTCAGGAACCTGTGAGATCAGGACCTGAGCAGAAATCAAGAATCGGACACTTAACTGACTGAGCCACCCAGTTATCCCTGTTCAAGCCATTCTTAGAATCAAATGCCCTGCCTACCAAGTAGAATGTCCTGTTCTGGCTGGTTCTTGATAATTCTCCAGTACATTTGTTTCTTTCCTCTCTGTCCTTCATGCAGCTCCATATTACTCTTAAGTCTCTCTTCCTGTTTTTTTTCCTCCTGTTTTCTTTTATCCTAGTCAATTTGGCCATCATTGTTTCTCATTCTCTCCCAGACACTGTTCCCAGGTATTCTTTTCTCTTGAACAGGTGCCTGGACCAGGAAAGCTCACAAGGGCCTCCCCCTGGCTGCCATCCTTTCAGTACTCAAGGTCCAGCACATGTGTTTTTCTTACACCTCATCAGTATGTGCAGGGACCCACATGCCCAGAATTTCTAGCATCAGAGCCTTTAATGATTACCTTATTGTTCCAGTCACTTTTATGCATTTAAAACCAAACAAAAAAAGACTTAGTTACAACAACCACTTTATTATGATCACAGATTCTCTGGGTCCAAAATTCAGGCAGGGCTTATCACAGTAGGGGTGGCTTGTCACTACTCTCTGATATAGGGCTTCAGGTAAGAGGCTCAAATAATGAGGTGGGGGGGGCAGGTTGACACAGATAGCTGGAAGCTAAATTTATCTGGAGGCCCCTTCGCTCTCCTGTTCAAATCATGGGATGACTTAAAGACTAGGTTCACCAAGGACTGTTGGCCAGAAACACTACATGTGGCTTTTCTGTGTGACTTGGGCTTCTTAAAATGACACGGTGTCTGGGTTCTGAGTGAGTATCCTGAGAGGAAGCTTCCAGAAAACAAATGTTCCAAAAGAAACAGAAGCTGCATGGCTTTTTAGGACCTTGCCTTACAAGTCATATAGCTATATATCAACCATGCTCTTGGCTAAATCAGTTATAAGCCTTCTGGATTCAAGGGGAGAAGGCTTAGGCCCCACCTCTCAATGGGGGGACTGTCAAAGATTTATAGACATTTTTTAAACCACTGCACTCTTTTTAACAAGCTAAAGTAAATCGTCCACACAGATATCATTGATGTAGATGGGTATCTGATCAAGCATGTAATACTCAAGTAAATATAATACAAATATACAATACTTGCATTGTAATGCAATTGAGAGAGTTTGGGAGAAAAGTACTATTTTTCTGATAAATGTGGTCAGAGAAACTCATGTTCTAGTTCATCAAAACAACTTACATGTCAAAAGTGAGATTTTTAGGACCTATGTTAATAAAAGACAGGAAAAGAGATTTTAGGTACAGCATGGATCTGACCTCAAGAAAAAATCTGGGAGACAGTTTATGAATTGCCTGTGTGGGTCAAAGGAACTGAAGAATAAAATTGAAATGAGATAAATGATCTGACCTGCTAAACAGGATAATGTAAGACATGTTGACCATTTGAGTCCCAATGCATCACAAGAATGCAGAGCTCTAATAGGCATCCTCATCAAACCTTTCTGCATCTGGAGTCAGACTGATGTGACTGTAAGCCATTATACCACCAAGTTTTATGACCTTAGAGAAGTCATTTGAACCGTTATGGGCTCAGTTTCTCATCTGTAAAATAGAGATTAAAAACACCTACCTCACAAGTGTGAGGATTAAATGAGATTACATAAAGGCACTGTTCTAGCTAGCAAATAGTAGGCCCTCAAGAAATGTGGACTGGGGGCACCTGGGTGTCTCAGTCAGTTAAGTGTCTGACTCTTGGTGTTGGCTCAGGTCATGATCTCACGGTTCGTGGATTTGAGTCCTGTGTCAGGTGCTGACAGTGCAGAGCCTGCTTGGGATTCTCTGTCTCCCTCTCCCTCTCCTCTGCTCCTTCTCTCGCCCCCCCCCCCCACTCTCTCTCTCTCAAAATAAATAAATAAACATTAAATTTTTTTTAATTTTTTTTAAATGTGGACTGACTCAGCTTCTGAAGAGAAATAATTTACCCAAACCATTCTGCAGATGTTGATTCAGAAAGTTAACTTTTGAGTGAAGCTTCCCCAGTGCCCCTCCACACTTGTGTGAAGCCATGAACCTGTGTGCTCGTTTTATGTGGAACCCATCATGTGCTAGTAACAAAAGGTTATCCACTAGACTATTTTCTTAGCTTGTTCCATTTCATTGTATACTAATAAGGCTGTCAATATTTTTCCCCCTTCAGCAAAGAGTCTGATTTCACTGTGAATTCATATTGGCACAGATGGCCTTGAGATCCCGGATATTGTATATTGCATACACTTTGACAGATTTTACAATTGAAGGTGGTCTCAAGAAACAAATCAATGTACTGACTTGGCAATTAATTCTGACTAAAAAGGAAATATAGTTTCCTTGAAAAATTGGTTTAATTTTTATATTCAAACTTACATGCCCCTTGACCTGCTCTTATCAGTGAAGGTTAAACAGAGGGCACTGGGTCACAGCATGCTGGACACAACTAATTAAATAAGGGCTGAGCTGAGAAGGTGTCACTACTTGATTTAAAGGAACAGAGCTCTCCTGAACCTCTTTGGGGCTTGAAAAACATTTTGTCTCAGGGCAATGAAACTGAGACAGAAGGCACTCTTAAAATTTAGCAGTAATTTTATTTCCACAATACTCACTAACAGGACTGTGTTTCACCACTGTTAGGCAAAGTGAATTCATTGAAACTTCTAAGCTGCTATGTATCTGACCTGGTTCAAGGCCACCAAGACTTCAAATGAAGAGATGAGTTTAAAACGCTGCCTTTCCCCACAGGCCAGCAGTGGTGCTTCATTCCAGTGTTGGCTGCGAGTGTATTCTGTAGGCTTCGCCTCTCCCCTTTGCCCTCCTGTCGCTCTGTCTGTTTGACATGTTTATTAAATAGAAGCTTCAGGCTGCACAGACAGACCCAGGCTCTCCTCCTGCATCGCCCACCAACAACAGCCCTTTGCCTGTCTGGGGAAAGGATCCCAGAAGCCTCATAGTTGAGGGGGCTTCATGGTTTGTTTTTTTTGGGGGGTCAAGGTGTTGTGTTTTTTTACATTCTTTTGGGAACATTGGGTTTATAGGGCTGTTTATTTGAATAATAACCAGTTGTTATTTATATTGCTTTCCTGTTTGAACATAAGTAAATAATTAGAATTGTATTTTTACCCCTGTGTTCAAGAAAATATTTTCTCCTTCAGAAAAAGAAAAGTATTAGAAGTTAGCTAAATGGTAACAGGAGATTCACAGGAGAATTTTAGCATTTTTATATTTTTCCACATTTTCTACAATGAGACGATTTGTACCATGGGAAAAAATAACTTCTTACAAATGGAATAAACAACTATGCTTTAGGTGGATAGTATGTCTTGATCCACAAAGTAAGAGTATTTCTCCATGTCTCTTTTCAGGTTAAATGTTACATTGATTATGGTCACTTATTAGAGCAAGAATCTCTAAACTGAACTGTCAAGCATAGTGCTCTAGAAATTTCCTATGTTTTTCCGGCACCATGGCAGAAAGTTCACAGGGTCCAGTCTTGCTTTGTGATTTGCAGCCCTGCCTGTCCCTGGGATGGGGAGTTCTAACTGCTCCTTGTCTTTGTCAGTCTATTGTAGGGGCAGAGGGCTTGTCCCTTGCATTCCGGCATATCGCCAGCTCTCTACTGGGCCACTGCAGCCAAGTCTCCTGTGAAAGCCTCCTTCATGAGGTCATCGTCTGTGTGGGCTACTTCACTGTCAACCACCCAGATAACCAGGTAAGAGGCCCTGGACAGTTCCTCAGGCAGCTCCCCCAACACTGAGAGTGTGAGGTATTGGATTGAGAAAAGGCAGGCTAGCCTGCTGGAACCCATCTGTCCTGCGTGAGGCCCTTTAACCAGACTCCAAGGACAGCTCTCTGCCTTATTCTACCCAAAGAGATTTGATCAGCACTAGATGAGCACTAAGGCTTCCTCTTAGAGTTATAAAAATAAAATTTTTTCAATAAAATATTCAGTACACAGAAGCATCTACTCCCTTACCACAGAGGTTCTGATGTTCTATCCATATATTTGTTTCATTGTGATGAGGTAGAGTGCATCTTTCAGTTCGGGTCACTTTGCACGTAGCATTAGAGTCGGGTGCTTTATGAGGCCACTCTTGGCACTTGGCTTCTAGTTGCTTAGGGGGTGCTAGGTGGTGTTGGAGGGGGGCCTGAGAAAGCAGGACTTGAGCTTCTCCCCCTTGAGTCACTCAGAGTAGTTTCACTTTTAACTGTTTGGATTATGTGGTTTCCAAGCAAGATTTCATTTGTAAATAGGGTTCTGCTACTCTAAGAACTTGGGAAAACTGTTACCGATTTCGTAAAATAATAATGATGATGATGAGCACCTTATTTCTCTTCATTTTTAAAACCAGAGTAATGGCATAACTAACACATCAAATAGTAGTTCCTGATAGCCTCATTTATCTAAAACCTTCTGCAACCTCAACTGTATGGATTATAGCTGAGAAAAAGGCATCTGGACAACCATTAACCCTCACTCCAAACTTAATAAGTTTTATTTTAGGCACATCTCTAACAACCGTTTATTAGCCTGCAGCAAACTAGACCAGGGCAGGAGAAGGACAGGAGTTGGTTATAGTGACAAAGCCAAGTTCAAGGTGAGAGCGGGGAAAGAAAAAATAAAAATAAGGCAGGGCCGAGAACTCAGAAACCACAGCCATCTGGATGAAAGGAACACTAAACCCTGTATTTATTTCTGAGAAGATCTGGATGCCCCCAGTGCTAACCTTGAATGAGCATGGAGGCAAAATGTATGTTCTTTGCATTCCCTTTGAAGAAGGTTGAGGAGCATGCAGTCCATTCTGGAAAGAATTCCATAGTTAAAATATAGAAAATGTGGACCAGAACAAGTGTCATTTATAGAAAAGTTCCTCTTTTCCAGACACTGGTGCCAGGAGAACAGATCTTTTTCACTTCCCCCTCCCACCATGGGAACATTCTGGAAGTGCTTTCCCCTTGCTAACACCCCCCAGGTAGCGATGCATTGTCCTTTCCAGGCCCAGCAGGTTCATAAGTCTCTTACAAGCTGCTCTCACCATCTGAGATAGCCACTGTTAGCATTTTGGCAAGTTCCCTTACAGTCCTTATTCTGAATACTTTTTCCAGTTTTATTGAGATATAACTGACATACAGCTTTGTATCAGTTTTAGTGTACAAAGTGATAATTTGGTATGTACATATTATACAAGATTAATACCACAGTAAGTTTAGTTAACATCCATCACTTCACATAGTTACAAATTTTTTTCTCATATGGTGAGAACTTTTAAGATGCACAATCTTAGCAACTTTTAAATGTATGTGTGATACAGTACTAGTCAACATGCTGTACACTACATCCCCAGAACATATTTATCTTAGAACTACAAGTTTGTACCCTATGACCACCTTCAACTGTTTCACATCCCCAACTTTCCATGAATATTTTACGTAGCTGAGATCATACTGTACATACATACTGTTATATCCTACTTTATACACTTAACATTACAGGTCTTCCTTTACTTACACTGGGGTTATCCCCCAATAAACCCATCAGAAGTTGAAAATATCTTAAGTGGAAAGCACACTTAATACACCTAGCCTACTCTCAGGATGCTCGGAATACTTACATTAACCTACAGTTGGGTAAAATCGTCTAACACAAAGCCTGTCTTCTAGTACAGTGTTGAATATCTCATTTAGTTCATTGAATACTGCAGTGAAAGTGAAAAACCCAATGGTTTCTGGGTAGGGAATGGTTGTTAAGTGGATCAGTTGTTTACCCTCATGATCGCGTGGCTGACTGGAGGCCAGCTGGGAGCTGCTGCCACCCAGCATCACCAGAGAGTATCTTATCAGTAGCCTGGGAAAAGATAAAAATTCAAAGTACTGTTTCTACTGAATGTGTATCACTTTCATAAAATTCAAAAATCATAAGTCGAACCATCAGTCAGGCACTGTCTGTGTATCAAAACCATTCTTTGTGAATATCTATATTGAAGTATAGTTGACACACCTGTTGTGAATATCGTTTTGGCTGCAGGGCTCTATCCTGTGTAGACAGCCCGTGGTTTACAACTAATTTCCTGGTTTTTTTTTTAATTTTTTAATGTTTATTTATTTGGGGGAGGGGCAGAGAGGGGAGAGGGAATCCCAGGCAGGCTCCATGCTGTCAGCACAGAGCCTGATGTAAGGCTCAAACTCATGAAACTATGAGATCATGACCTGAGCTGAGATGAAGAGTTGGACAGTTAACCGACTGAGCCACCCAGGCACCTCCAATTTCCTGTTTTATACTTAAGTTGTTTATTATGTATCATGACACTATCTACTGGACTTGTAAAGAGGTCATCTGTGGATGTGAGAGTATTTTGCTGTGTTACAGTTCTACGGCAAGAGATAAGCTCCTTCACCATATCCGCATTCGGAGATGGTTTGAAACTTTTTGCTTAAGCCAACTCTGTGGTAATGAATTTGCTGAACTCAGAATTGTGTGGGATTTCAGAGAGTTTTTCTGCCAATGCCAGGTCACAGACTGATCCTTTCCTACAGATAAAGCACACCTCCTAAGTATCTGTGGGCTCACCAGAGTGAATGGGAAATGGGGTCAGGGGAACTGGCATTTGGAGATGCCATGACAGAGCAGTGACTGGGCACGTTGGGGCAAGCGGAAATAGACTAAAAGGGCAGAGAGAGCACCAAGCAGCACAAGCAGGAGACAAGTGCGCTATGGCTTGTCATCTGGGGAAGAAGACACAGCAGCATTTGGAGATCATTGTTGAGAAGTGAGCTCACTAAGAGAAAGAAATTAGAAAAGGGAAAAAAGCCAGATCTTCTATTTTGACACCTAGCCTCCCAGAAAGATTGAATATTAAACTGGACATCCACTTCTGATTTGAGGCAAGATCAGAGAAGTCAGTTCAGCCCCAAGGCAATTAATGAAAAGCAACAATCTATGAGAAGAAAGAATGTGATAAAAAGTAGAGGAGAAATCAGAAATCAATAGACTTATAGTAAGTGTCAAATACTGAGACACTGCATCTTATGGAGATGTGGTTTCTAAGCATGACCCCTGATATTTGTTTTTTAAAATTTTTTTTTTCAACATTTATTTATTTTGGGGACAGAGAGAGACAGAGCATGAATGGGGAGGGGCAGAGAGAGAGAGGGAGACACAGAATCGGAAACAGGCTCCAGGCTCTGAGCCATCAGCCCAGAGCCCAACGCGGGCTCGAACTCACGGACCGCGAGATCGTGACCTGGCTGAAGTCGGACGCTTAACCGACTGCGCCACCCAGGCGCCCCATGACCCCTGATATTTGTAAAATCGTTGATACCGTTTTTCCATCTGGTGTCTTTTGGACCTCATTAGCACTTCAGTGAGGACGTAAGTACATCAGGATGTAGTTCTGCCTCACATACAGGTAAGGGATCGGGATTTGAAGAGGTTATAAGTCCCCTGAAATGGTACAAAGAAATACAAAGATACAAAGAAAACTTTAGGTCCTGGGATGGTATAAATGAGCGTGTTTTATGAACACAAAATTGAACACAGTCTAGCAAAAGAAGGCCTGGGTTCTAACCCCCACTCTGCCACAAGCTGTGTGATCTTAAATCATTTTCCCTCTTGAGGCTTGAGCATGTTTGACTATACAAAGAGGTATACTGGTTCTGGAAATGACGGTGGTGATAGTGCACAATATTGTGAATGTACTTAATGCCACTGAATTGCAGACTTAAAAATGGTAGGTTTTCTGTTACATATATTTTACCACAATAAAAAATGCTTTTTAAAAAAGGAAGTGGATTGTTCTAGATGACCTCCCTTGTGAGTTCCAGGAGTCTGTGATATTTTAAAGGCTAAGATTAGAACCACAGACAGACGAGCATTCTGATCTCATGAGGACTCCAAGCCATTTTGTGGTTTTTCAGATGCTCCTTGCCCTACTCTGGATCCTGTCAGCACCAGATGGCTTCATTAGCTGCCTGTCCACTCCATGGCAGTGAACCCTTAAAAGCTGCATATACCCTGGCTCCCCATATTAATAGAGGAGCTCCATTGACAAAACCAGTAAGCAGAGACTTACAGGTGAGATGTCAGGTGCCTTGCTCTGTGAAGCCATCTCTAGCTACAGTTGTTTCACCCACATCAAAGGGTTGTGCTCACCAGCTCGTGGCTGGGCTCCATGCCATCCAGCTGCATGGCAGGGGCTAGGGAGGGGAGAAATAACCCCAAGCTTACTAAGAGGATAACTGCTCATATCCCAGTAGAATTAGGGAGTTTTCTGTAACTAAACAGCTGATTGTTTATTTCATTCTAAAACCTTGTTTTACTAAATTCCCTTTCTAATCTCCCCAGTAATTTGCCAAGTGAGTGTTTGCTGAGGGGATGTGGTAAATTCAGCTTTAAGGTCTCATCCTTTAAGGTCATAGCTTCATGGAATCTTCACCTGGAAAGGCTCTGAAATATCTAGCCCAGCTGCCTCATATTACAGGTGGAAAAACTGAGGCTCAGAGGGAGGAAAGGAATTGCCAAGCCAAGAACTGGCACACCCAACTCACAGCTTGCAGTCAAGTTCCTGCCCTTTCCACCTCTCTGTTCTTATGAGAGTGAATGTACTTAACCTGATGCCACATTCTCTAAATCAGAGGAATTTCAGAGGAAAAATTATGATGCTCAATTCATTTAATGCTTCCGTATCATTAGTCAGTCATGTTAATTTGCAGGGC